GCTGAGGCAAGAGGATCACTTGAGCGCCAGGAGTTTGAGGTTGCTGTGAGCTTTGATGCCACAGCACTCTACCCAGGGTGACAGAGTGAGACTCTATACAGAAAAAAAAAAAAAAAAAAGTAAATAGGAGGGTAGGCCTGGTGGCTCATGCCTATAATCCCAGCACTTTGTGAAACTGAGGCTGGAGGATCAATTGGGGCCAGCAGTTTGAAGCTTGGGCAATATAGCAAGACCCCATTGCTACAGTTTTTTTTTTTAATTAGCCAGGTGTGACAGTGCCTACCTATAGTTCCAGCTACTCAGGAGGCTGAGGCAGGAGGATTGCTTGAGCCTAGGAGTTTGAGATTGTAGAAAGCTTGATTCCATCTCAGATCCTTCCTATAGTATGTCCTCTGCTCTACTGGCCTGTTCTCTGTCTCACTGTGTTGGCTTTTCTTTTCCTTTTCCTTTAAGCCTCAACTTTATATATTTATTTTTTTGAGACAGTCTCATTATGTCATCCTCAGTAGAATGCTGTGGCAGCACAGCTCACAGCTACCTCAAATTCTTGGGCTTAAGAGATTCTCTTGCCTCAGCCTTCCAAGTAGCTGGGACTACAGGCATCTGCCACAATGCCCGGCTATTTTTTTGTTGTTGTTGCAGTTGTCATTGTTGTTTAGCAGGCTCCTGGCGGGGTTCAAACCCATTTGCCTCAGTGTATGCGGCCGGCACCCTAACCACTGAGCTACGGGCGCCGAGCCTAAGCCTCAGCTTTAGTGCTGGTTCCTCATGGAGTCTGCCCCTACACAACCCCATGTTTGTATCTCCTTTTGTGTTTATATTAATTTATTTCTTTGCCTGTTTGTTTCCAGCGTCCCTCCACTAGACTGTGAGCTCCATGAGGGCAGGGACCATGGCTCTATTGCTCACTTCTGTATCACTATCACCCAGGATGGAGTCTAGCTCCTAGGAGCTCAATAAATACTCATTGGATGAGTAGATGGTGTCTGGAATTATAGAAAAGAGTGTTTCAGAGGAGGTATTTCCCTTATAAGAAAAAGCGAATTTTGGCCAGAGAGGAATAGGCACTCCTAAAACTGAGGATCACTGGAACCTACTGGTCACATTCTGATCTCTGCCCACTGTCCCCAATTATAGGTGAGGGTCTGGTTCCAGAATCGCAGGGTCAAGTATCAGAAACAGCAAAAGGTGAGACTGCCGGCTGCGTCTGCCGAGGCTGCCTCCCTGGATGAGCCCTCCAGCAGCTCCAATGCCAGCATCCAGAGTGACGACTTTGAGTCAGGAGTGGACAGCTAAGGATCGGGACAGAGGCCTCACCCAGTGGCATGGGCTAGTTCTTTCTGTGGGTACCCACTGGACCTCTGCCCCACATCTCAACAAAGGTTGAGCCTTCTCAACCAGAGAAATCTGAACTGTCAAAGCAGGGACACTGTTCTATACTGGGTCCTGTATAACGGAATAATACAATGGTCAGAGGCACAAACTTTGGCTTTCAGTTATGTCCTTGGTCAAGTTTCTAAACTTCTGAGGCTTTTTTCTTCATCTTTATAATGGGTATAAAGATGATAACTTTATTATAAAGATCGTCTTCCTACCTCAGCCTCCCAAAGTGCTAGTATTATAGCTGTGAATCACAGATCCCTGAAAGTTAAGGTGATCAGCAGTGGCCAGTGATTTACTCAATCGTGCCTGTGTGAATAAGTCTCCATAAAAACATCTTGGTACCTGTAGCACAGTGGTTATGGCGCTGGCCAAATGCACCAAGGGTGGCGGGTTTGAACCTAGCCTGGGCCAGCTATAACATCTTGATAACTTAGGCATTCCAGGGATGAGATGATGTCTGAAAAGCACTTACAATGTGCCAAGTGTGTGGCCACTGTTAAGGCTACAGACCCCTTAGTAAAAACAAACTATTTTTTCTCCTTTCTCATGCCATACCAATCAACACAGAAAAGTTCCATGAAAAATTGTCTGGTTTTTTTTCTCCCACATGCCAAATAGCCAAACACTCACCATACCAATTGAGTATTCTCTAATTCAGTTCAATTCTCACACTATCTGTCTGCAGGTAGGATAATATCCTGCATCTTGAGGGCTCGATCTTACAAGCTTGCCCTGTATTTCCAATGCCAATCACAGGCCTCAAGTTTTACCTGTGCTTCTGATGGACTGTGTATAAATTGGGGTTCCTACAAATTCTTCCTTGGGTTTGATTAATTTGCTAGAGTGGCTTACACAACTTAAGGAAACACTTATACTATCAGATTATTATAAAGGATATTACATAGGATACAGATGGAGAGGCGAGGTGTGGGAGAGGATGTGGAGCTGCCATGTCCCTTCCGGATGTGCCACCCTCCCGGAACCCCCATGTATTCCACTATCTGTAAGTTCTCCAAACTCTATCTTTTTATGGAGTCTTTTTTTTTTTTTTTTGGAGACAGAGTCTCACTATGTTGCCCTCAGTACACTGCCATGGCATCACAGCTCACAGCAACCTCTAATTCTTGGGCTTAAGCAATTCTTTTGCCTCAGCCTCCCAAATAGCTGGGACTACAGGCACCTGCCACAATGCCCAGCTATTTTTTTGGTTGCGGTTGTCATTGTTGTTTAGCTCCTCTCAGGAGGTTGGGAGATGGGCTGAAAACCTTAACCCTCTAATCATACTTTGTTCTTTCTGGTGACCAGTCACCACCATGAAGCTACCTAGGGCTATCAGCCAGCATCATCTCATTAATATGCAAAAAGGCATCACTTTGGAGATATAAGACCAAATATATATTTTATAATATCACAGACTTCCTCACTTGGAGAAGTGGTAGCTGTACCAGCCTTAGCTTCCTAGGGATCAGTCTTTTCCTGGCCTGGCTGAGATGAGGGTGAAGGGGGCTCCTTAAATCCAGGTCTGGGCATACAAGACTTCCCCACCAGAGATGGCAGGGTTGAGAGCAAAGACAAGGGAAAAATAGACCATTTAGCCCACTTCACCTCACAGAGTTAAAAGTTTTCTTTTGTCTAAATTGTTACTTATTCTCAAGTGCTCAGGCCCAGCTGCCTTCTTAGAGCAGCATGCTACCTTGACCACCATCTTTTTCCTCCAGCTAACCACTTCGGCCCCCTCCCCATCTTTTTGTAGAAAAGAGAAATTTGACTCTGTCTATGCTAAGATTGGTACTCTGCTATATTCTGCTGTGTTTTCACAACAGTTATTATTCTTCCCTTTCTCCACCCTGCCTCATGGCTCCCATTCCTTTTCAGGGTGTTGAAGCCTGCTGACAGCCTGCCCCCAGCGTTTTCAGAGGCCACTTCTGTAGTACAGACCATTCAGATTCCACACCAGCTCCTGGGGGCTGAGGTGAGGTCTGCCCTGCCACCTGGTAGGAAGTGAGGGTATGTTTCCGACTGCCTGGGGTGGAGTTTTCTGAGGTAGAGAGCAAAGCCCCCAAGGCATCTTCTTAAAAAACTTACATCAGTTACTTATACAGCAGTTACTGGAGTTTACCCAATCCCCAAATATCACCATGAAGAGTTAAGTAGATGCAGACACAAGTCTCTTTTCAAGGAATACAATATCAATTTGGGGACAAGGAAATAACATAAAGGCATGATGGTTAAGCCTAGCTGTGGGGACAGATGCCATAGGTCAGTGGTTTGCAGCTTTCTGGGGTCCTAAACAGGAGAAAAGACCACTCTCCCTCTTCTTCATCAAACTGCAGGGGTCCTCAAAGCAAGGTCTAGTATGGACCCCTTCCACTATCCCCAGGCTGCAAGGTCCCCAATTCCTTGAAGAATCTGAGGCACAAGTCCACCTTGATCTTTCAGGAGGATTGTCTGACCCGCTGCCAAAGGATTTATGGAGAAAGGACATGTTGAGGTGGACTTCGTTGGATGGATAGGTTGGGTGAGTTGGAGGGCATAAGCTAGTCCAGTCCTTCTCAGGTTGAGGTTTGGACAGATGCTGTTCTACAGGGCTGGGACCAAAGAGTTCTTTACTCAAGACAGGCCACTGTGCCACCAAACAAAACAAAAGCTCAAAGAAAAACCCAGGCCTGTAATCTTAGCCCTCTGGGAGGCCGAGGCAGGTGGATTGCTTGAGTGTGGTAGTTGGAGACCAGTCCGAGCAAGAGCGAGAACTCCTTCTCTAGAAACAGCCTGCTGTTGTGGCAGGCACCTGTGGTCCCAGCTATTTGGGAGGCTGAGGTAAGAGGCTTGCTTGAGCCCAAGAGTTTAAGGTTGCTGTGATGCCACCACACTCTACCAGGGCAACAGAGCGAGACTCAGTCTCAGCAACAACAAAAGAAAAAAGACCACTGTGTACACACAGACAACAGGCATGCAAGCATATGCCGGGACAGAGATACACGTGCCAAAAGTATGTATACGTATGAGTACATAACTCTGATACAAAAATATATACTGCTCACAAAGATACAGACAAATACACACATGTCAAAGCACAAAAACGGGCCCAGCTACAGTCAATTAAGACTCGCTGGACCTGCAACCCTCGCAGCCTCAGGAAAACTCACGCGAGGAACCAGGCCCGAAAGGGGCGGGGCCTCGCAGGCCGAAGGGGGTCAAAGGTCAGGAGGAAGAGGCGCGCCCAAGATGGCGGCCTCCATGTGCGACGTGTTCTCCTTCTGCGTGGGCGTGGCGGGCAGGGCCTGTGTCCCCGTGGAAGTCCGATTCGTGAGCAGCGCCAAGGTGAGGCCGAGGCGGACGCGGCAGAGTGCCCTAACCCCGTTCAGCTTTGGAGGCAGCTCTGCGGGACCCCATGCCCGGAGCCTAGAGGCTCCTATGCCGCTTGGACGCTACAGCTCGGCACCTGCTAGAAGCTCGGGGACTCCTATTCTGTCCCCCAGCGCAGGCTCTTGGTGTGGTCACGCGGTGGACTGGGGTTTCCAGAGTCTCCTTGCGCGTCCTCTCCCAGGGGAACCCGACCTGCCAGTGGCCCCTCTCTGCCTGCTCAGGGCAAAGGGGAGTATTCTAAGCTTTCTGGCTCTGGATGGGGGGTTGTTGGGCCCCTAGAACTGTGGGTGGGAACGTGCTGGTCAGAAAGAACTGAAGTGTTAAAAAGCGTGGGTCATTAGGGAGCTTTCTGAGTGAGATTTGGGTGTGGGGATGAGGAGAGAGGCCAAGAATCTTCACGAAGGGCCTTGGAGTGCTAAGGAATTTGTGCTAGAGCCATAGGCCGCTGGAGCATTTAAAGGGTTTTTAGCAGGAAAAGTGATTTTGTCATTTTGTTATTTTTAGAAGTTCACTACGTAAAAATAGAAAATGCATGTAAGGAAATAAAAAATAAAAATCACTCATAATTCCATGCTTGTGCAAATATGTGTATATTAAAATTACATTTTTAGGAGCAAAATGACATTTTGATGCAGCAGTGAACTTTCAATGTCAATAAAACTATTTATGTTCATTTTTAAGAAGTGAGTATTCTTCCACGGGAGGGCCACAGTTCACTCATTCAGGCCCTTATTAGTGGGCCCTTTATTGTTACTTATTTTTCTTCCCTGGGGTCAAAGGTCTTGGAGTTCATTTTCTGTGCAGACATCCTTTTGTTCTCTCAAGCAGTTTTCTTTCCTAGTTATCTTTGCAAATTGACATGTGCCAAATGGTATTGCTTTGTTCTCATTTACTTTTCTTTTGTTACTAGTGAGGATGAACAGCTTACCATATGTAGTGGTTGTGTGTATCCTTGGTCTTTACCCAGGATGTTAACTCTCTGGTCGACTGTCACTTGCTCTCAGCATTATCATATTGATTCTGTTTCTCAGCCCAACCTTCCCAACCTTTCCTTGCCTTCTTTCTGTCCTATAGGCAGCTGGAGCACTCCTCTCTTTCCCAGGTAAATCAGCTCCTCTGCATCCTTGGTCTCCTTAGCTGTTCTTATCTTCATCTCTACCCAGATTCTTTAGTGTTCTGGGTGCCCACCAGTCTGTAGGGTTCTCAGTTCCATCACTTCTAGCGTACATAGTCACCTTTATCTTCATTAGTCCCCACTTTATCTCTTCAACCACTCTCCTTGCACATTTGTCTTGTCCCATCTTCTATCAGGGCTCCCGCTGATTGCCCTCTCCCTGCCTGCTGCTGGAGAAAATCACATAGCTACCCGAACTTGATAACGAGACAGATTATCCTGGGTTTTTTGCATTTGTGTTCATAAATTAGGTTGGTTTGTGATTTTTTTTTCTTTGTTTGTATTCTTGTTTTTTGGTAAATGGAGAAGCTGTCCAATTTTTCTTTGTCATTAAATAGTTTAAATATCATAGCATGAGAATTATTTGTTCTTTGAAGGTTTGAGAGATTTGACTCATGAAACCATATAGACTGGGACCTTATGGGATGGTACTTTTTGACCACTTTTTATTGGTTCTTTGAGTATTGGCAAGAATGACTTTTCAAGCCAGGTGATTACAGGCTCATGCCTGTAATCCTAGCACTCTGGAAGACCAAGGCAGATGGATTGCCTGGGCTCAGGAGTTGAAGACCAGCCTGAGCAAGAGCAAGACTCCATCTCTAAAAATAACCAAAAACATTGCTGGGTGTTGTGGTGGGTACCTGTAGTCCCAGCTATTTGGGAGGCTGAGACAGGAGAATCACTTGAGCCCAAGAGTTTGAGGTTGCTGTGAGCTATGATGCCATAGCTCTCTACTGAGGATGACAAAGTGAAACTGTCTCAAAAAAAAAAAAGAGAGAAAAGAATGACTTTACAACCACCACCACCACCAACAACAAAAAGAAGACTTTATGTGGGAGACTGACCAATTGGAACAGAAACCTAACCAGGTCCAGTGGACAATGGCTGGACTGCTATATTGGTGCACACTAGCCAGATATGAACATGGCTTATTGTCGGCTTTCTTCTTTTTTTTTTTGAGACAGTCTCAAGCTGTCACCCCAGGTAGAGTGCCGTGGCATCACAGCTCACAGGAACCTCAAACTCTTGGACTTAAGCGATTCTCAGCTTCCCAAGTAGCTGGGACTACAGGCACCTGCCACAACACCCGGCAATGTTTTTGGTTAGAGTTGTCATTGTTGTTTGGCAACCCGGGCTGGATTCGAACCTGCCAGCTCCCGTGTATGTGGCTGGCGTTGTAGCCACTTGAGCTACAGGTGCTGAGCCTTTCTTCCTTTTGAATTCAGTTTTGGTCATTTGTATTTTTCTAGAAAATCATCTATTTAATCAAGATTTTAAAATGTAGTGTAAAGCAAAGCAGGGTGGTACATGCTCGTAGTCCCGGCTACTCTAAAGGCTGACAACATAGGATTGCCTGAGCCCAAGAGTTTGAGGTTATAGTGAGCTATGACCATGCCTCTGCATAATCACAGGCCAGGTGACAGAGACCCTTTCCCCAAAGAAAAGAAAGAAAAGAAAAATTTTACTGTATGGTTTTATGATTTTGCATGATCTTTTCTTAAAACTTCTTTGATTAAAAAAAAAACCCAACACTATTGGTTTGTCCACTTTCCATTAAGGTTTAGTGCTATCCAAGCTTCTTAATAGTCTGAATTAGACTTTTTTTTAAAATTCTTTAATTTGTTTTGGGAATGGGTGGCTTTATCAAAGAACAACTCTGTTTTCCCTTGGTTTAATGGCTACATATATTTTGCATTTGGTCCTCCAAAAAGAGAGAGAGAGAGATCGGGATTTGAGATTGTCAGAGATTAAGTGGGTCTCTCTGTTCATATCTATTTGTCCCATAGAGGAAGGCCAACTTTTCATTTTGCTAGATCGGGTCTCAAGGACTACAAGGCACGGGAGAGGGGCTTCCCAGAAGACAATCAAGGGCTTATTTGTGCCTTTGACCTGTGGTTTTGTTTCACTTGTTTCATTCTATTAGGTAGAGCTCCCATCCCACAGTTCTTCACAGGGTTGAGATTTGTGGCTCATGGGTGGCTCAGGGCCTGTTCTGCCGCTCTGACTTTAGGAGGGGCTCTTGTGGGCTACAGCAGCAGTGCTAGAAGGAAGCAGGGAGCTACCTGGGAGGCTATAGTAACAGGAATTTCACTGCTGTGTCAAGCACTTTTTTCCTCTCCCTTTTTTTGTGGCAGTTCAGTGTTGGCAGGGCACCAACCCTCTTCTCTAAATACTTGAGTAGTGGGAATAAGCGTCCAGCAAGGCCAATAACTCCTGGGTTCTGAAGCCATCTCCTGAGTCCTTTTGCATGTTTGAGAGATGGCAATTCAGAGGTTGTTTTCTCATCCTTCATCATTTACATGATGTATATAATGTTTAGACCAGGATTTCTCAAACTTTCAAATGTATATGAATCACCTGGGAATCTTGTTAAAATGCAGATTCTGATTCAGCAGGTCTGGTATGGGGCCTGAGGTTTTGCATTTCTAACAGTGTCCCAGGTGATGCCTATGCTGCCTGTCCTCGCACCTCACACTGAGTAGTAAGGAAGTAGAGCTCATGCTATATCATTGCATCCTGGAAACTACCTGGTAAGTGTTATAATACTCACTTTTCATATAGGAAACAGATGCAAAGAAGTGAAGCACTTGGCTCAAAGTTTCACAGAAAGTTAACAATAGGACTGGGGCTAGGATTAGCTCATTTCTTTCAATGCCTGACTAGTGCTATGTGCTTTGAGTACCTCGATGACCAAGGTCAGCCATTTTCCCCCCAGCTCAGCCTTCCTCTTCCATAGTAGGATTTGTCTGCAACCCTGAGCAGAAGCACCCTGCCAGGATCCTGGCACATGGGTGACTCAGGGAGGGCTGCTCTGCTATTTCTAGCTTCTGGTACAGGAGGCTCCAGCCTACTATGAGCCTTGGGCCCTGCTCTGGTTATCCTAAAAATTCTCCCCCTCTGAGTAGTCTGAGATGACTGTCATGGTGGTTCCTGCCCTGTCCCAGGCCTTCTGCTCTGAATTGGCTGAAAGAGGTAGAACTGAAAGTAAGTTACAGATGTAGTTCCAGAGGGGGCAGTCCCAGAGGGTGCTGGCCACTTTCCATGAGCTATCAGAGCCAGAGGCCTCTGCTAAGAGAGATGAATATAAGGCTGGACAGCCTCTTGTGAGTTCCTGGAGCTATGTCTTCTGTCCCTTCTTATAGCCATCCTCTTCCTTTTCTGCCCTCCTAGGGAAAGGGGCTGTTTGCCACACAGCTGATCCGGAAGGGGGAGACCATCTTTGTAGAACGGCCCCTTGTGGCTGCTCAATTTCTCTGGAATGCACTTTATCGCTACCGAGGTGAGCACATCTAGTTGACTCCTCATAGCTGCTGGGCCCAGTTGCCTTTGTGTACAGAAGAGAGCTACTCACATCCCTACTGGTTGATGTCTCTGGGGCTCCAAATGTAGGCAGGAAATGCTGTCTTTCTGTGGAGAACTATGCCTAAGAACCATACCTCTGTCTAATTTCAAGTGTTGGGGCTGTGTGCCTGCAGTAGAGGCTCTTCCGACATGCTCCCTGGAGAATAATGTCACTCAGGCAGGATTCAGAGTCTGGCCCCAGAGAATGAGGGACTGGACAGCATGCTAAAGGGCTTTGTGCCAAAGTGGAGCCCTCCACTGAGAGAGGCTACATGGCCCTTGTCCAGAGAAGGTTGGGTTAGGAGTCCAAAGCAAGTAGGATGCCTTTAGCTTTGCTGGCCACCTCTTTTTTCTTTTCTTAAGCTAGAGACACCGTGAAAAGAGTATCAGTTGGCTTCAGAGTATGGGGAAAGCCCAGTTTGGGGGTAGTGGGGAAGCCCCACAAAGTGGGTCTAATTGAAAAGCAGGGAGAGTCAGAGAGCAGGGGCCAGGGGGTCCTTGAGAGGGAGGGGTATCATCTACCTTTGAATGCATTTGAAATTAATTAATTCATTCCATTCATTAATGTAATCATTCATTCACTTCCCAAAGTTTTATGGAGCATTTGCTATATGCCAGGCACCATTCTAGCTCTGGAGATACTAGAATGTATCTGTGAAAAGGACAGATGTCGCTCCTACTCTTAAGACACTTATATTGTCATATCTGGCTCTCACCCTCAGCCTGTGACCACTGCCTTAGGGCACTGGAGAAGGCAGAGGAAAATGCCCAAAGGCTGACTGGGAAACCGGGCCAGGTTCTGCCTCATCCAGAGCTGTGCACTGTACGCAAGGATCTCCACCAGAACTGTCCCCACTGCCAGGTGAGTATGTTGGGGGAGTGTACCTCAAAGGGGATGGGCAAGGTAGGCCTTAGCTGAAGTCCTCGTTGGAAAGATAGAAACAAAGACAGACCTGGTCATGGCCCTTGAAAGCTCCAATGTGGGGTAAGACATTGAATAGGCTTGGTTATTGCTCCAGTGTCATCGTCCCTGTCCCAGTTCCACTGTCTAGAAAATAGGTTGGGGAGGGGGGCATACCTGTAGCTCAAGGAGTAGGGCACTGGCCCCATATACCGGGGCTGATGGGTTCAAGCCTGGGGCCTTCAGGGCCTCTCCCTTCTACCTGAAAAGCTCTCTTCTCTTTCTGTGGTTTCACAAGCCTAGGTTAGGTGTGCCTTGCACATGGCCCCCAGAGCACCCTATGTTTTCTCACCTCAGTACCTCTGAGATATGGCTCAGGGTCTATTTGCAGAAGGAATGCAATTAGAAGAGATGAGTACCACATAGGATATCTGCCTTGGCCCTCTCGCCCTATGGCCAGATCCTAGGGCGCTGACCTCACCCCACCTGACAGGTGATGTACTGCAGTGTAGAATGTCGGCTGTCTGCTGCTGAGCAGTACCACCAGGTCCTGTGCCCCGGCCCCTCCCAGGATGACCCCCTGCATCCTCTCAATAAACTTCAGGAAGCATGGAGGTAGGTCTCTTTTCCTCTTTTCTTTCCTCTATCCTTCTCTCCCTACTTCTCTACCTGGGCTCAACAGATGTTGTCATAGTTGTTAAGTTGCCCCAGATTTTTTCTCCATTCTTAGGGTTAAATAGAGGTCACGTCTCCCAACCCCCTGCCTTTAATCTGGGCTGTCAGTCCTGCTATTCTCAGCATTTTACACTCTCAGAAAGAGCCCCATTAAGCCCATAGGCATACAAAGTCCTGCCTGAGTCCCTGATATGACTTTCTCTCTTTGTAATAGATGGGGTTGGTAGAAAGGTTTCTCTGTACCAGTCAGACTGGCTTTCTCCGAGCTCAAGTACTGGGGAAGGAATTTGTAGGTAAAACTTTTTTTTCTTTCCCTAGGAGTGTTCATTACCCCCCTGAGACTGCAAGCATCATGCTGATGGCCCGGATGGTGGCCACAGTGAAGCAGGTGAGCCCACATAACCCTCTCAGGAAGCTGACTATGGCCTTGTTCAACCCTTAGTCTTGGTCTCTTTCTTACCTTAAGGTCCTAGCTTGGGTGCAGAATTCTGCTGAGCCTTTGCAAAGAAGAGTTGCTTGCTATGTAAAATCTTAGGTGTGTGCTGAACATAAATCAGGCATGGGGAATGAGGGAGCAGGGGCTCATTTTGCCTGTAGTCTTTGATTTATGAGAAGATGTCTTGGGCAGCAGCAGTTCATGTGGTTGATTTATAAGTACTCTTTCAGGATTGCATCTTCTATTTTTTGGAAAGAGAGTCTTACTTTATTGCCCTCAGTAGAGTGCTGTGGCGTCACATAGCTCACAGCAACCTCCAAATCTTGGGCTTAGGTGATTCTCTTGCCTCAGTCTCCTGAGTAGCTGGGACTACAGGCGCCTGCCACAACACTTGGCTATTTTTTGTTGCAGTTTGGCCGGGGCCAGGTTTGAACCCGCCACCCCTCGGTATATGGAGCCAGCGCCCTACCCAATGAGCCACCGGCACTGCCCTCAGGATTGTATCTTATGTAAAATGAGAGAAGGCTCTCTAACCTCCTCTTTAACCAGCATCAGTCTCCTGTTTTGCCAAGTATTGTTGAACTGGCTAGCTCAGCTATATCTGGGGAGATAGTGGGGAGTGAGCAGCATGAGGACGAAGCCTCAGGCAGGGAAAGGGCCCCTGGAAGATCAATTGTGGTGGGGATTTTGCTGATGAAAGGGGCTTTTGAAACAGTCTGCTCCTCCCACATGGGCAGAAGTACTAATAAGAAGGTGGGTGTCTAAGAACCTTAAGTATATTTGTTCATTGCAGGCTAAGGATAAGGACCGATGGATCAAGCTCTTCTCCCAGTTTTGTAACAAAACAGCCAACGAGGAGGAGGAAATTGTCCACAAACTTCTGGGGGACAAGTTCAAGGTTAGTCTTTTCTGATGACCCATCTCCCCCTGCCTTCATGAGATAGTCTAGGATGTCCCTACTCTGTAGGGAGTTCTACATTTGATCCCTTCCCCAGCAAGAGGAAGGAGTTAGGACCTGGGCTCAGAAGTTGACTCAGACATCCTGGCCACTACTTAACCTCATGACCTAATGTGGCCCTAATGTTGGGAAGTGGGAAAGTGGGGTAGTGACAGAGGAACAACCCTCTACCCTGACAGTGATCTTTACATGTTGTAGGAAGGCAGGACTCCTGTCATAGGATAGAACAGTGGGCACATTAGGTAGAATGGAGAGTTGGGGTCCACAGAGTCAGACAGTAGTGTAAAACTGACAGTGTACTTAGTGCCCGTTCCCAATCAGAGTATAGATTCTCACTGAGTACAGCATACTTCTACCAGGAGCTGGCTGAGGGTGGAAGCAGGTGTGAAAGGGATACCTCTGTACCTCCTATGTTGAATTCAGTGGAAAGGAAGGGGAGAGCCTACCTGTTCTGGAGGCTGGGTCAGGAGATCTTTGAGGGTGGAGATGAGAACAGATGTTCTAAGCCAGGCTACTTCAGCTTTATTGGTACAAGTGCTAAAAAATGAGCAGAAATTTTGGGTTGGGTGGACCACCAAAGCTCTTTAGAAAAAAGACTCTATGGCCTTCCTTTGCCCCCAGGGAAAGCTCAGTCTGCAGAGTTGGCCCCTTTTTCCTTCCCTCTCCTGTCTTCTGGGCCCAGCCGGGGTACTAATGGGAAATATCCAGGGATGCACGTCTCTCCCTACTTCCCTTAAACCAGGGCCAACTGGAACTTCTGCGGAGACTCTTCACAGAAGCCCTTTATGAGGAAGCACTCAGCCAGGTGAGTATGGGGATGGCAGGACTAATGGCTTCCTTGTCACTTTAGTTCTCTAGGAGCAACTGGGTCAGCATCTCCTCCTGGGGCAGCTAAACCAAAGCCAACTTGGTCTTCTAGAATTGGGGTGGGTCTGACTCATAGAATACTTCCTGAGCAGGGCTGTGTTAGGAAGAAAAGCTAGTGGCTGTAATCTGAATACTCATCTCCTCCCTTTCTCTCCCACAGTGGTTCACTCCAGATGGATTCCGGTCTCTCTTTGCTCTGGTTGGGACCAATGGCCAAGGAATTGGGACTAGGTTAGGAGAGAATGTTCCAGAGCTGTTGGACCTATCTCTCAGGGATTGGGTTGGAGATTGAGGAAGGTAGCCACAGCACCTCTCAAGACTGGGGTTGGGTAGGGTGTGACTCTATGGCTAGAGGGCTGAACTGGATATGGTGGTGGGGCATCAAAATGAGGCAGTAGAGGCTAGTCTTGGGAGCCTTGGACTATTGGGGAAGATGGGGCCCTTACCCTGAAGAAAAAGTGGGACAAGCGTAGGAGACCATTCTTCCTGGGCTTAACTTGCCTGGAGGTGGAGAGCCCTAAGACCTGGGCCTTCTCCTCTCCAACCATGGGCTGCTGGGAACCCTCCAGCTCCCTGAGCCAGTGGGTCCATGCCTGTGATGCTCTGGAGTTGAAGCCTCAGGACCGCGAGCAGCTGGATGCCTTCATTGACCAGCTGTACAAGGACATCGAGGCAGGTTGGTGAGATGGGGCCCTGGCCTCACCCAACCTTGGAGAACCCCCAGTCAGATGAGTGACACATACTCTCTCCCCAAGGTACTCTGAGTTAATGGTGGGAGAAAGTAATTCCTTCATGTTTGTATGGAGCTTCAGATTTATTCACAAGACAAACAATAAGAAATGGCACCCACCAAGAGTCATCTAGAATCTTGATGCTGGGAGGAAGGGCAGTGCTGGAAAATAGGGTGATGTCATAGACAAAAAAGCCAGGTTTGTGGCTCAGAGAAGCAAGTTTAGGTAAAGTGGTAGGGACTGGGTGCCTTGGCCTGTATCTGTCCTTGTGAGCCTAGTTTCCTTTTCCCACCTGTAAAATGGGTAGAGTAACATCAGCATATTACTGTCTTGCAGCAACCGGCGAGTTTCTAAACTGTGAAGGATCTGGCCTCTTTGTGCTTCAGAGCTGCTGTGAGTCACAACATTGGGGAGGGACAGTCCCAAGCATTTCTACCTTTGCCAGGTGGCCTCACAGCCATAGTTCATCTTTCTTAGTTGTCCCTTTCTAGGCTGAAAGAGTTGAGTCTGGGAGAAGGGTTAGGTCTGAGTTTCTTAGAGAATTCCCTTGGGCCTTTTTGTTCCAATTGATTCATTCAACTGCTTTTGGTTTAATAGATGCTTATATACAAAACGTTACAGTGGACTAGGTGCTGTGCTAAGGCACAGAGCTCTGATTCTTACAAAGGGAAGCATGAGCTTTGCACCATCATTGCCTTCTGAGATTTGATAGGGAGTACTCGGAGAGCCTGAGAGGCCCTCAGGATCCTGGGAAGAGGGAGCTCAGACCAGAAGACAAGTCTTACCAGCACCTGATGGGGAGGGCAGAGTCACTCAGTCACTATCTTTTCCAGATCTCAGCCTCTTATCCCCGGTTTCATCCCTGGAAGGAGTTTTCAGGTTTCAGTTTCCAGTGCCACTCTACCCCTACCAAACTGGGTTCTCAGGGGGCCTGAGTCAGCCATTACTAGGTGTCCACTAGATCCCTTTCCCTCCAAATGAAGTTGGCCAGTCCCTGGAGGTAGCAGTGGGAAGTGATGTGGGAGTGCACTCATGCCTATGCTCTGGCCTTCAGAAAGATCACTGGATGGAGAGTCCAGAAACTTGGGTTTTAGTATCTGTGCAGCCCTGGCAGGGATAAGAACGGATGGGTCCATTCCTTGGCAGAGTTGAGGTTGTTGTGTTTTTAGCCAATAATCCTCATTATCTGCCTTTTCTCACCCAGGCAACCACAGCTGTGTCCCCAATGCTGAGACCTCTTTCCCAGAAAACAACTTCTTTTTGCATGTTACTGCCCTGGAGGATATTAAACCAGGAGAGGTGAGTGGGGCCAGGAGCTCTGAGGGGTGGGGTGGGCAGTGGGCCTTGCAGGTTCTTCCTAGGGTTTAGGGGCAGCAGTGGCTAGAGCTCCTTAAAGTTCAGGCTGTTGGGTTGGATTCCCACATGCCCCAGAGCCTAAGTCTTTTAGCCCATGGTGGTATTCTAACTCTACCTCCCTTCTTCAAATTATAACTCCAGAGTACCTCAGAGGAGTGTTTGAGGGACAGCTATGTGTCCAGGCTCTTATCCCCAGGTACATTTTGGTCAACAAATCTACAATTTCTTGGGCCTTGGCAGGCTAGTGTTGGTATAGTTTGGTTGTTGGTATAGTGCACAGAGTCAGGTTGAATCTCCTTCCGGAGCAAGTAGCATCACACCAAGGTAACATCTGATCCTAGCCACAGACATTTGTCATTGATTGGCTTTCACCATGTCCTGAGGCTAACTGCAGTCTCTTCTCTGCCACAGACACAGGGGACTGGATCAGGGCAGCTCACCCCTTCACTGAAGGGCCATGCAGGCCTGGATCCTGAAGATGGGGCTGGTGTTGGGGAGGCCCTTATCCTGTGGAATACAGAGCACAAACTATCAGACCCCACTTCTCTGCCCTATAGGAAATTTGTATCAGCTACTTAGACTGCTGTCAGAGGGAGCGCAGCCGCCACAGCCGCCACAAGATCCTCAGGTGCCAGTGGGGGACATGGTTGGGGAGCTGGGCTCTGGTTCCTCTATCCCAGTGGCTGCCTAACTTTTCCCTCTTGCTACCCCTGCAGGGAGAACTATCTGTTCATCTGTTCCTGTCCTAAATGCCTGGCAGAGGCTGATGAACCTAATGTGACTTCAGAGGAGGAAGAGGAAGAGGAGGAAGAAGGAGAGCCAGAAGATGCAGAACTGGGAGATGAGATGACTGATGTGTGATGTTGCCCTACCCAGAAGGGACCCTGCGCCACATCTTGTTGGAAAAGGGGGTCCTTCCCTCAGAGAAGAGGCGTGGAAGGAACTCCTCACTCTTACTGCCTGCTTTCCCCATCCCAGCTTTACCTGCCAGAGGGTAGGACAGAGGCTGGACCCCAGGCCCCTGACCCCCACTAGACCTCATGCCCTGGACACTGCTGCTGAGTTGGCTTATGCTCTGCACTGTCACTGAGCCTTTCAGAACCAGCCTCCCCCAGAGCCCACAGGCTGGAACCGGGGTCAGGGCCCAAAAGCATTTCCTCCTCTACGCTTCATGGCCCATGCTCACCCTTCTACCTGAGGCTTCTCCCCTCTCAACTGTGCCATTGATTTTTTTTTTTTTTTTTTTTGAGATAGTCTAATTGTCGCCCTGGGTAGAGTGCCATGGCATCATAGCTCACAGCAAACTCAAGTCTCTTGGGCTCAAGCAATCCTCTTGCCTCAGCCACCTGAGTAGCTGGCACTACAGGCTCCTGCCACAATGCCTGGGTAATTTTTCTATTTTTAGTAGAGATGGGGTATCGTGCTCAGGCTGGTCTGGAACTCCTGAGCTCAAGCAATCCTCCCTTCTCGGCCTTCCAGAGAGCTCAAATTATAGGCATGAGCCACTGTGCCCAGCCTACCTGACTACTGATTCATTTTTGAGGGGAGGTAACAATATGGCAAATCTGAGAACAGAATGATTTCATTAAAGCAGAAAGGGAAGTGGTAAGGTACCCTCAACTCTTTCCATACCTTCCACCTGTCACTGTTGTAGCTAATAAGGCTACTGCTTGACCCCTAGCCCAGTGAGGAGAGGCAGGCAGAAGATCTGGGCTTCCTGAGCTCCTTCCCTAAGGCTGTCTAGTGGGAAACACAGGATCAGGGGGATTACTTCCTTCTCCAACCCCCACTCCCACCATTGGACATCTGAGGAAGTAGAGATTAACCCCTTCCCCAGACTCCAGAATCTCTGTCCCTCATACCTTGTCTTAGGCCCTGGCACAAGCAGCTAGCCCCATGAGGTAGGAAGAGTCCTCTCCTTGCTCAGGAAGGGCATGTGGGGGCCCATCACTCTTTCTCACACCTTCTTCCCACTGAGCATTCTAGCAGCATGGCTGAGACTTGGGGGTTGACAGGACTGTGCTTCTTAGTTGAGGATGCTCTAGTCTTCCCTGTGGCCAGTTAAAGTGGGTCAATGAGGGGCTCTTGTGGTCTCAGTCTCCATCTACAGGGTCTCCACAGAGGAACACCAAAGTCTTCCAAATACCTACAGAAGCTGGGCACTAGATACCCAGAGATTAGCATCCCTTCCTTCACCCACATCAGTACCAGTCCCCTCTTTCACTCTTGGTTTTGGGTGCTGTGGGAACTAATCCATCACCCTTGATGCTTTCCTTTCTGGAGGGGCCTACCACATCTTGCTGAGGGATCCCAGGGAGGGCAGGTCCCCACCCCACAGGCCCTTATTTAGAACATGGAGTCAGGTAGAACTTGCCTATCTGGCCCCCTCGGTTTTTACTCCTTCACAGCAGCCAGCACCCCTCTCCCACCACCACTTGCCCACTGTTCTCAATAAAATGTGAGTGGTGATAGGCCTCGGCAGGAATGCTTTGTGGAGTGGCTGGATGGATTGTCCAGAGTACACAGCAGTCACTAAGGTGGCTGCAAAAGGGCACAGGTTAGACCAGGCAATAGCAGTAGATGCTCCAGGCTCCCCAGCTTGTGCTCACCTCTGCTCTTATCTACTCTCTGCTACAAGTGTCCTAAAGCCCAAGAGTAAGGGTCCTCTGAGGTCCAGTTTAGATCCCTAGTTACAGGCTTCTCCCTGGTGGGCTGAACTGTGGCTTCCTAGGGCTGCCTCAGATCTTGAGCAGAAGGCTGTGCTGGGATGTAAGACTAATAGTCTTAGCACTGGGCATGAAGGACCTTGGGCAAGTCATGGTCTTTGGGCCTCAGTTTCCTTCCTTCAGAACAATGGTATGTGACCAGATGAGTGAGTCTGAAGGTCCTTCACACCCCTGGGTGCTCTTATTCCAGGACACAGTTGCAACCCTGATGAGAAGTTTTATTGCTACAGTAAGGGTTTATTGAGTCCCCAAATCCCAGTTCCTTAAACCACTCCAACAACTGCTGTGAAGGTCACTGTGAGGAGACCTCAGGTAGGGGTTGCTGGAGCCAGGTGGGATGTAGCAGGGCATAGATGGCTCTCAGGCTGCCTGCCTTTAGTTTCTTTTGTTCCAGATTCTAGCCAGAACTTCTGGGGCTTGGCTCTTGCCTCTTCTTGGGGGCCCTGGGGAAGGGAAGGCCACTAGTATGGCTTCCCTCCCTCAGCCTAGCCAAGGTGGAGACCCTTTTTTGCTACCTGGCTCCACTTGTCCCTAAAAGCTATCTTCAAATTCCAAATAGCAAAATTCCTGGGTTCTTCTCAGCCCAGAGTCACTTATGGCTGGAATGTGGGACCAACTCTTCTACCAGAAGGTCCAGGGTGGTTGCAGCAGCTCAAAGGTAGGGATGCTGGTGACATTGACTGGGATGGAAATGATGGCCCATGGCAGCCCATGCTGTTCCAGGGAGCGGCGGATCATGTAGCTAGGAGAGCATGAAGAGAGGTGGCAATGGTCACTTTCCCAGCATCACATCATGCCACACTGTCCCCACCACTCTGTGAATTCTAAAGCCCAAGAACTTTTTCACTCTTCAACTAAGGCATCTCAAGATGAGGCCTGTAGGAAGGGACTTATGATTACCCTTGACCTCCCCAAGTCATAACACCCAGCCTGGTGCTGACACAGCCAGAGACCAGGAGCCCTCACCCATCTCGGCCGAGCAGGAAGAGGGCAGGTATGTCAGCTGTGCGCTGGGTACTATCCTGGATCATCTCCACGTAGAAGCTGTCATTGTCAACCGCGTTGTCAGAGATGATCACTGCCCGCCCACCGTGCTCTTGTACCACCCGGGTCTTGGAGAGGAAGGAGCAGCCCCTGGAAGAGGTGGTGATGAGATCAAAGGAAGGGCAGGGTCTAGCTACTCTTCCCCCAGACCGTCACCCTGGGAGGATGGAAGGAGAACTATGAAGAATTTGTTAAAGGCTTGTAAGTAAATAGCCCAAGGTATGGATAACCTTAAGACATTTCTTAAAGACTCTTAAAAAGATGAATTATCCAAAAATAGCAATTTCAAAGCACCACCGCCACCAATAACCTCAGAATCTGCCCGTGCCTGCCCACTCTTTACCCCCTCTCCACCAGAGCGATCTGGTCCTGGATGAAGAAGCCGTTGCTGAGTTCCCCGCAGGCCTCTGGAGGTTCAGCAGGGACAAGGTGAATCTGCTCATACCTTGTATGCTGAAAAACGTTTAGACATTTGGAGGTGAGAGTGTAAGGAGACACATTGGCTTTAGGACTAGGCTGACAAAATCCCATCTTACTGGCACCTCAGAGTGTGAAGCAAATGTGGAGCAGTTTCTGTGTTGCCAGGCATTGAGCATTTTTACTTAATTCTCACAAAAGCCTTTTTTTTGGTCCTACCCAACCCTGCCTTTCCCTGAGATAGGTTGGGAAACTGATTATAAAGCCTGAAAGGGGAAGTGACTTCTTAAGTTACATAGTTCAGAGGTAAAGCTGGCAGAGAAAGCTGGTTCCCTTCTCATTTCATTATTTCACATCACCCAAAAAGACAGTTTGTCCCTCCAGGTGCCCAGGTATATATTATACCAAAGGGAGTGTAGTTGGATAGTGCAGTGCCTGGAAGGCAGAGCTGGATTCTGCTCCTTCACCTGTCTCAGCACTCAAGTGGGATGATAAGGGAAGGGGGAGGCTGAGGATCAGAAATCAGGGGCCTCTCTGAACTTACAAAGATACCACCGAAGTCCTTGGCAGGTGTAGCTGTGAAGATGTAGCGAATATCCCCAGGACTCAGCACTTGAAAGTATAAATAATCATGGATGCGGAAGCCTGAACGATAAAGAATATAGGTGAGAAGTTTAGGAACAACCTGGATCATGTTCAGATCATAGACCTGTGTCTTCAACTGGGCTGGCTATAGTCTGGGCCCAGGGCCCCAGTTTCAGCTGGTTGGGTCTCCCAGGTGGGTGGGATCTTTGCCCTGGGGAGAACAGAATTGATGCAGACAAGAGTTAGTAATCCCAGAGGTTTAGATCAGTTGCTGCTGCTCACATAGGTTAGCTAGGAAGACAGAGATCTAGGGTTAATCCATCTTTGCTCTGAATACATGAGAGTTTCAGGGTAGCTATGTAGTGGCCTGAGTACAAAACAATTTTCATAAAAACTTAGAAGTAGACTCTGGTCCCACTGTGATACCGCTAGTATAGTGACTATTATCTCTTTCCCTGACTGTTCAGCTTAATTGGCCTACCTGCTTCCATTCTTGCTCCCTAAGTCCATTCCCCAAACAATTTGAGATCTTAAAATCTTAGCCATTGTAATCATATCACCACACTTAGGGCATCAATACCCTCCAAAAACTTCCCTTTCCATTTCCCTTAAAATGTAGACTTTCAACTGTGGCCTACAAGGCCCTGCTTGCTCTGGCCCCTGGCTGCCACTACAATCTCATCTCCCTATATTCAAACTGCCTTTCAGTTTCTTCCTTCCTCTGGATCTTCCTACAAGCTGTTCCCTCTACTGGAAGGCTCCCTACTTCCACTCTACCACCACCAGTTTACCTGGCTCACTCCTAGTTTTCCTTCGGGTCATAGCTTAAATGTCACTTTCTTGGAGAAAGCTTCTGCCTTATGATTGCCCTCCCCTAAATCCATTCAAATGTACTTTTTTTTTTTTTTTTTGAGACAGAGTCTTACTATGTTGCCCTCAATAGAGTGCTGTGGCGTGTCACAGCTCACAGCAACCTCCAACTCTTGGGCTTAAGTGATTCTCTTGCTTCAGTCTCCCAAGTAGCTGGGACTACAGGCGCCTGCTACAATGCCCGGCTATTTTTTGGTTGCAGTTGTCATTGTTTAGCAGGCCTGGGCTGAGCTCAAACCCACCAGCCTTGATATATGTGGCTGGCGCCCTACTCACAGAGCTATGGGTGCCAAGCCACAAACGTACTACTTTTTTCCTTCAATTGGTATGTCCAACATAATGTGTAATTATACAGGATTCATAATTTTTTAATGTCTGTCTTTTCCACTAGGCATAGATCTTTAATTTGTACCTTCATTCAATACTGAATCCCTAGTATAGTGGCTACAATATAGTGGGTGTTCAATAAAGGTTGAATCAACCAGTAACAACTGTGTCTAGCTCCACTGTACTGAGAAAGAGAGTTACTAGAACAAACAGACTTTTCTGGGGGTATGGAAACTTCTATTTGGCACCAAAGTTAGTATTTTACCTGGACTTAAGTCCTGGTTTC